GTGCATCCTAATTTATAGGTATATCTATATAAATAACATCATCGAAAATGATATTTTTTGATATTTTCTCACTTTCTAGAACCTTCGATGCATACATGTCTAATAAATACCTAGATCCGTCATGGTGGTTGTGGCGTTTTTTTTTTTTTTAATATTCCGCAAGACCACAACTACGCACAAATACTCAGAAAGTGCATTCGATTACAGCTAATATCGTTTACTACCGGTAAGGAAGTGTTTACACTTGTATACCTCAACAAATATCTAAGTGTTTACACGAATCTTTTCTTTTTTAATAAGATTGCATAGGCTTAAACGTTTCGAAGCCTTCTCAAGAACATCTTTTTCAAATGCGTAACGAAGACTTAAATAAGTGCCCACTGAATCTAATATTGCCGCTGGGCTCATAATGAACTTGGGTTCCATAGGTAGGAACTGTATGTCGGAAACATAGAACAATTACAACGATTTAACAATTATGAAAGTTTATTAAAAGTTTGGAAGTTTTCGAGGGCGAGATTTCCAAAGTTTTTAAAACTTAAAGGAACATTCTGAAAGTATTCTTTACCATTACGCTAAGAAAAACGTAACATGGTTTTTTCAAACAGCGTCATTTTTGGTTTTTCTATGTTAGCGATTCGAAACTTTTGAACATAAAAAGTATTTTTTAAACAAACTTAAACATAATTCACAGAGTGGTGAAATTTTCATCGAGAATCAGTTGAGCACAATAATAAAATTTCAAACAACGCCACTATGTAGATTGTTAAAAGTTTGTTCGGCCGATCACAGGATGGTGTTGTCTAGAAATTTTTATAGAGAATGAGTTCAGAGGATGGTGTTGTCTAGAAATTTTTATAGAGAATGAGTTCAGCTCAATAAAAAATTTCCAAACAACGCCACTCTGTAAATAGCAAAAACAAATTTGTAATAAAGTACCAGTCGCGTGATTTGGCATGATCATAAGTGAACATTTTTTGAAAGCACACTGTTGTGCGTGTAGCTGAGTGCGCAGAGATGCTTGCTGCAGTTGGTTGCTGCCAAGGTTCAAATCTCGTTGGGCGGAACATATAATTTTTAATTTTTATTTTCGGTTGGTTTAGTTATGAAAAAAGCATCTGTGAAGTACACAACGAAATCGTGTTCAAACGAAAAAATCTCCAAAAATAAATCTGTTCAAAGTAAACAAAAGCTTGTTTGTCGAAAAATCATGTGTTTTTGTTTGAAACAAAGACGATTTGGTTTATTTTTTTTCTCAGTGTGTGTATTGTTTCTTACATTGGTTTAGTTTACGGCACATAAATGGATAAAAATTAAATTTTTATTTAATGACATACCAATTTTTCTCACCTCATTTAAATAAAAACTTCACCCATATGTCATTAAAAAAATAATCCTATACCTAGAAAGAGTGTGAAGATGTATAATACAAGCGGAATAGATCTCAAGCCCTAAGGAAAAGTACCAGCAGTTATTTCAATTACGGGCAATATATACATTGCTAGCCGAAAAGAGAAATTATGGAGAGCGAATAGACTACCAATACCAATGTAATGGACCAACCAATAATCCCGTACGAAATGCCCAACTTGCAGATAATTGATTCGGGGAAAGATGCAGTAATTGGAGGGCATGGATGTTTCCCAACCTGCAGTTTGCGTTGTGACTACACTAAAATGCAAGCGTTTTTCAAAACGCTTGACATTAAAAGGTGCTAAAAGGTATGTATGTACATATGGCACCATATATTTACATACATATGTATCAGCGCGAACGCAGGTGAACACTTTCTTAGATAGCCAGGTGGCAATTCAGAAGCTCTCCTCCACTTCGATTAGGTGGGAAATTATCGAATACTATAAGAGACCGTTAATCTCAGAATCTGATCAAATCTAAATTGCCCTAATGTGGGTCCCAGCATAGAAACATATGTACAGTTGTCCACAAAATAATAGGAGTGCGATATTTTGACAGGTTTTGGCTATTTGTCTTTTGTTTATTTAATGTTTATTATTTTTTTATAAAAGCCTAGCTGGCTATACAAAAAACACCATATAAATTCAGATTTTAAACTTTGTATAAAAATTAAAAAAATTTTGCAATTTTTCACCCAAATTTCAAACTTTTTAATCAGAATCTTTAGAAAAAATTCTGGTATGCAGTTTTGTAGCACATTCAATTCTAGTCTGAAGAAGTGCAGGTTTCAAGCGGCTAAAAAATTCCGTTGATTTTTGGCAATTTTTTTGCTGGCAGTGTCCTCCATATAAAAGAAAATTGTCGACATACTTTGTATGGAAAAAAACCTTAAACACCTTTAACCAAAAAAATTCTCAAAAATCAACGGAATTTTTTAGCCGCTTGAAACTTGCACTTCTTCAGACTAGAATTGAATGTGCTACAAAACTGCATACCCGAATTTTTTCTAAAGATTCTGATTAAAAAGTTTGAAATTTGGGTGAAAAAATGCAAAATTTTTTTAATTTTTATACAAAGTTTAAAATCTGAATTTATATGGTGTTTGTTGTATAGCCAGCTAGGCTTTTATAAAAAAATAATAAACATTAAATAAACAAAAGACAAATAGCCAAAACTGGTCAAAATATCGCACTCCTATTATTTTGTGGACAACTGTATACGGGGATTATACAGCAGATGCGGTTCTATACAAAATGGCCACTGCAGAACTCCCTTAATAATGTTAAGTTGCCTTCAAAATAAGCATCTGTAAGTTTCTAATAGTTCAATTTACATACGAAATGACTTACATTTTGTTCATTATTTTGAAAGAAAATGGAAGCAACGAATGTAAGGTCAACGCAGTCTTCCACTTAGTGACATATGTAATATGTGTGTATGTAATATACAAGGCACTTATACTTTGCACCACAACATGAGGAAACAGTTAAATGTCTATCAATAGATAAGTAAGTAATATGTAAGAGCTTATAATAAATGGGTGAAATGTTTTGCAACATATTCGGAAACACAATAATTTTATTAAGCTGATGATAAGTGGTATAGAAATATACTTATAGAGGTTCATTCGACTATAAGAATGAACGAACATACTCGGATATTTAAATACAGACATGCGAAAGTATTTAGTAAGTAGTAAACAATTGACAACACAAAAACCACCAACAACAAGGAAATTTCAATTCAAGGAAAATATAAACAACAACAAATCAATTGTGCTACAAAACTAAATGAATATAATAATATGCATATGTACATATGTACATACAGTGACTCAAACAAGTAACCGCGTGTGCTTTTTTTCTTCTAAATATTCATAATGTTTTTCGAGTTACATTTTTTATTTGTTATTTATCTATAAAAATATTGTCCAAGCTTTAACCAAAACCATATAAATCATAGTTTCAAACTTTATAAAAATTTAAGAACAATGTTCATCAAAATCTCAATGTTTTAAATCTGAATGTTTAGAACATTTTTGGGTATGCAGTTTTATGGCCCATACACTTTTAGTCGAAGTGCAAGTTAAAAAATTCCGTTGATTTTTTAATTTTTTTTTGTAATGGATTTTTTGCACTTTTTTCCATATAAGCATGA